CTCCCTCAGTACTGAGGGAGTGCCGCACTGTCGGAGGGTCAGTGCTGAGGGAGCCCCGCACTGTCGGAGGGTCAGTGCTGAGGGAGCGCCGCACTGTCGGAGGGTCAGAGCTGAGGGAGCGCTGCACTGTCAGAGGGTCAGCGCTGAGGGAGCATCGCACTGTCAGAGGATCAGTACTGAGGGAGCGCCACACTGTCGGAGGGTCAGTACTGAGGGAGCGGGCACTGTCGGAGGGTCAGTGCTGAGGGAGCGCCGCACTGTCGGAGGGTCAGTGCTGAGGGAGTGCCGCACTGTCGGAGGGTCAGTGCTGAGGGAGGGCTGCACTGTCGGAGGGTCAGTACTGAGGGAGCGCCGCACTGTCGGAGGGTCAGTACTGAGACAGCGCTGCACTGTCAGAGGGTCAGTACTGAGGGAGCGCTGCACTGTTGGAGGGTCAGTACTGAGAGAGTACGTGACTATCTCTCTCAGGTGAACAAAGACCCTGTTGGAACTACAGCAGCTGACATCTTCCCTGATATCTTAGGGAAATATTTATACGTGCTATAACATCAGTTTAAAACAGATAAGCTGATGCTTTCTCATAGACCTTGCAGCAGTAAGTCATATCACATAAATTCTGAATAGCCAGAATTGCTTAACAGCCAATGATACACTCATGAAATACAGTCCTGTTGTGAACTAGAAAATTAATTTTGTTGATATTCTGCAAACTCACAGTGCGCAAACTGGCTGCTGTGATTTCTGCAGGTTAAACTAATCAATCAGATTTATTTATAAGTAAAACAATTACAAAGAAGCAGCCAGGCCCTGCAAATTACTGATGGTGGAAATATTACAGAATATGTTACAAAGAGCAACAAGCCTCAGGCTGGAACACTCTCTTTGCATAACATTTTTCTTCCACAAGTCATTATGCAAGCTTTTTTTTTTCGGATGAAACAGTTTCCTTGAGTCTTCCAGGCACAGAGATTTTACATGTGGGCGACACAGTCCCTTTTCAGCCCACAGAGACTGCATTTGGAAAATGAAAGCCCCAGATACCAAGAAAATTCTGCAAGATGGATTCCAAACCGAGGTTTCCCAGGACTGAACAAGTGTCAGTCAAACAGAGGGATAAATTGACAGACATTTGCAATTAGCTCGAACTGCCACACTGAACTTGTCACTCTGTCAACAAACACCAATAGTGCATTTGTAAAAAGCAAACCTTTAGAATTTATGGTCCACACCTCAGCCGGACCACTGTGTTCTGTTCTCTGCCCTTTTGCAATGATGTTATGGCCTTGGATGGGTGACAGAAAAGATTTAGGGAATGGTACCCAGGGAGCAGGAGAGGATAGTGACGTGGACGGACTGGAGCAGCTGGGACTCTGCAGTTTAGACACACTGACACTGCGGCGCTCCCTCAGTACTGACCGTCCGACAGTGCGGCGCTCCCTCAGTACTGACCCTCCCACAGTGTGGTGCTCCCTCAGTGTGGGACGGTATCTTTCCTATAAAAGTTTGGTGTTGAATTCTAGTTAAACCCCTCCATCGCCTTGCAGAGATGGACACTGCAAGTCTCTCACTGTCCTGTTCCCTGCGATGTGGGATATTAAGCAGAGACTGAATCTGTCTCTTCGGTAGTCTCAGCATTCTGGGATGCCATTACTGTGTCCGAGCTGAAACCTCAGCCCTTAAATAGGGAAAATTTCGCCTGCATTGAGAAACAAAACCCCTGAGATCAGAGCAGCTTTCACATGCTGAACCGCTGATATTTGTCTTTCGAAGGGCTAAGGAGCAGGGAGACATGCTCTGTGTGCAACTGGATCAGGAAGGGATGGTGTGCTCGGTGCATTGGCCTGGGGTTTGAATCTTGTCCATCTGCAGGGCCAACGCAGTGACACTTTCAACGCACCAACTCTTGAGTGAGCTCACTGGCATGCCATGTCACATCATGGCATCTCTGCTGTTGGGAAAAGGCCAGCCACTGTACAACCGCAACACTACCCTCCTGCTCCACCTCACGTCATCCGTCTCCGCCCTTTCGTTATGTAGGAACATCGGGAAAAGGAGTAGGAGTGGGCCATTCAGCCCATCGAGCCTGCCCCACCATTCAACATGATCATGGCATATCATCCAACTCAGCACCCTGTTACTGCTTTCTGCCCCCCTCTCACCCAATACCCTTTCATCTCCTTAGCCCTGTCCAACTCCTTCCTGAAAACATTCCATGTTTTTAGCCTCAACCGCTTTCTGTGGCAGAGAATCCCACAGGCTCCCCACTCTCTGGGTGAAGACATTTCTCCCCATCTCAGTCCTAAATGGCCTACCCCATAATCCTTAGACCATGGCCCCCTGGTTCTGGACTCCCCCAGTCATCAGAAACAGTGTTTCTCCTTTCCCTTCTCTGGACGTGTGAGAATTTTGTAGGTTTCTACGAGATCTACTCCCTTATTGTTCAAAACTCCCCTGGTACCAAACAGATATAGATCCCCCGATACTTCCTGGTGGATGTTTTCTCTCTCTCAGGGCCCCCTAAGTTTGGATGAGACAAGCTGCATAATTCTCCATTTATTGAAGGGAAGTAAATGCCACTAGCTCCCATGGTGGGATTTGAACTAACACCTCGACAGCATTAGCTGGATTACACCTATAGCAACGCTCCCGCTAGGCCACCATCTCCACAAAGCAAAGCCAGACTTAGGAGCTTCTGAGTGCCTGGGAGAGCGTAACCCCTCCTTCTCCGAATCCATAAATATTATCCGTTTATAGGGAGGTATGGTTAGTGAGTTTGCGGATGACACCAAAACTGGAGGTGTAGTGGATGATGAAGGAAGTTATCTCAGAGTTAAACAAGATCTTGATCAGATGGGCCAATGGGCCAAGGAGTGGCAGATGGAGTTTCATTTAGATCAGTGTGAAGTGTTGCATTTTGATCAGACAAACCAGGGCAGGACTCATACAATTAACAGTAGAGGCTTGGGGAGTGTTGCTGAACAAACAGACCTAGGAGCGCAGGTACATAGTTCCTTCAGCGTGGAGCTGCAGGTTGACAGGGTGGTGAAGGGGGCGTTTGGCACGCTTGCTCTCACTGGTCAGTGCATTGGTTAGAACACTTTTGGAATACTGCATTCAATTCCGGTCAACCTTCTATAGAAAAGATGTTGTGACACTAGAAATGGTTCAGAAAAGATTTACGACGATGTTGCCAGGGTCGGAGGGTTTGAGCTACAGGCAGAGGCTGAATAGACTGGGACTATTTTCCCTGGAGCGTCGGAGGCTGAGGGGTGACCTTATAGAGGTTTATAAAATCATGAGAGGCATGGATAGGGTGAATAGCCAAGGTCTTTTCCCCAGGGTGGTGGGAGTCCAAAACTAGAGGGACATAGGTTTAAGGTGAGAGGGGAAAGATTTAAAAGGGACCTAAGGAGTAACTTTTTCACACAGAGGGTGGTGCATGTATGGAATGAGCTGCCAGAGGAAGTGGTGGAGGCTGGTACAATTACAACATTTAAAAGGCATCTGGATGGGTACATGAATAGGAAGGGTTTAGAGGGATAGGGGCCAAATGAGACTAGATTAATTTGGGATATCTAATTGGCATGGACGTGTTGGGCTGAACGATCTGTTTCCATGCTGTACAGCTCTCTGACTGGATGGCTCTATGAGGGATATGGGCCAAACGCAGGCAAACTGGACAAGTTTAGCTTGGGAAAAGTGACCAGCATGGACGAGTTGGGCCGAAGGGCCTGTTTCCCCGTGGTATGACCCTAACAAGGGGACGGGAGGGCGAAGATGGCTCCGTTTTCCTTTCAGATATTTATCCGTGCTTTCCTCTGTCAGTCTGCTCTCCAAATGTGCTCGCCCTCCCCCTCTCCTCCCAGTAAACAGGCGACTCAGAACAAGGAAAGACGTGATTCCAGTTTGGATGGAGGTGGCTGGCTACACTCTGGGGAGACCAATTTGCAAAAGATAAATGTTTTTTGAGTCATCGCTGCCTTCCCCTCCTCCCCCCACCTTGTGGAGCTCTCTCATTGTGTCTGCTGTGGGTTATTGGTCACATATCATGTAGTGCCTGTCACATGCTTCAGCATTATCGCACATCTTTATAGCTGGCAAAGTACAATGGGAGAGAGCTCTGAACCTGCAAACACTTTTGACATTTACAGTCACATCGCTGTTGTCCAAAATCGTGGTTGCAAGGAACATTTAGAAAGTGCAGCGCTCCATAACCAGCTCCCACTCCCAACCACCCTTTAAAACAAACCCTGGCTTTCCAATTTTAGCTGGGAGCCTTTATCTGCTTTGAATTATAGAGCTTCAGGCAGAGAGAGAGAGATAAAATCTGTCTGTTTATTTCTGGCACCAAGTATAACGACGTCCTATACCTATGTAGCGCATTCACAGTAACGGAACAGGAGCTGTGTCGGTTTAAACACTTGACACACGCCTGATAGGCAGAAAGGTGGAAGGAAAGAGCAGTGTTTTAGGAGTGTGCTGGGATGCTGAAATCCAGCGGGAATGGAAGTACCGAGGGATTCCAGCACTACTTGTGTGGCATTCTGGATCACATCTGGTCTCGGGAATACAGGGTTAGGGAGGGGCCCACTCAGGAAGATCCCAGGAACCAATCATCTTCAAAAAGATTC